GTATTTCTTCAATAACCGGAATTATACTACAACTAAGCTTCAGCTAGAGTTCACAAAAAAACTTTTAGTTGAAAGAAAAGAAATGGACGCACACGTTGACCTACGTAGAAACGAAGCCAAAGCTTCACTTCTCTCCAACAACCCAAAACCCATGGACACAGCAGAAGGTGCTATCGTAGAAGACGGAAAAAAATCAGAAACTTTCAGCAAGTACGTCGCTTCTGTGAACAAAGCCACAATCACACTGACCTACATAAAAAATGTCTAAAAAACTGAGCAAAGTACAAGTATCTCTCTCTTTGAAGATGAATTCACTCTAACTAAGCTCAACAGGGCAATAAGAAGAAACCGATGCCTCTCAAATCCCCAAGACCAGATTTATAAGATCCACAATGAAATGCTTGTCTACCTCAATCCGGCTGATATGGTAAGGGCACCATTTTCCAGCTAATCACCAAGACGAGGAATGAAAAACGATCCCCTGAACAAGGAGAACCTGCTAAAAAAATGAACAGCTATCGACCCATTTCAGTCACTTTGTGCATCAGGAACTTGCAGAGAGGATGGTCAAGAACCACCTGTACTGGTGGCTGGAAACAATCTCTGCAGAATTTCGTGCGGGCCAGGGCAAAATAAATAGCTCAGCCAGAGAAGTCCATGACCGCTTCCATGAAAAGAAACATACAGTAGAGGAGTTTGATTATCTCCAGCAAGCTTACAACAGGGTATATAGGAAAGGTGGTAGATGACACGGACTGGAATCCACTGGAAACTCCACAGTTGAGTGAAGACCTTCCTTACAGACAGGATAATCCAGACCAAGAGAAAGTGTGGTGTTTTATTGAAAGCTGTACTGGAGCAGGGACTACCCTAGGTAGCTGTACACTTTTCCTTGACCTGCCTGAAATACTGAAATCGGAGAAGGCCCTATATATGCCAGTGACATCCATTGGCAGTCAAGTCAGGAAGTTGTTCCTACCGTTACCCACTTTGGGCGGGGGGTGGGGGACTGAACAGTCACCTAGCACTGCTTACTCGGGACCGGTACTTGGTTTCAGTAAAGCCTATCAATATTACACACTGAAGTAAGAAAACTTTCACCACTACACAATTTAAAGTAAGGCTCTTATAACTCAGTGACCTACGTCATGTTGACCACGCTCAAGTTCAGGGTTACAGAGGTTATGTTGACCACGCTCAAGTTCAGGGTTACAGAGGTTATAAATGGCAAGACAACAGCAAATCACTGTGAGCACATCGGTGAATTGCTCTGAAGCTATCATATTACGGCATTGTGTAAGCTATCGTGAACTGGATAAGATGGCGTTATTTTTTAACTGCTTTTGTGGGCTTTGTTCGGCTGGTGCACATTCAGATTGTGTCGCCTTATTAACATTTATGTACTACGAAACTCACTCTAGCACTTTTTGTAGTGTGCTACAGCCACACTCTGGCGAGGAACTTGTATGGAAAATTGAGCAAGGTTCTTTTATAGTCTCTTTGTGGGTGTTGTGCGCATTGAAATGTTTGGGAGGCAGTGCACATCCGAGCTGTATGGGATATAGTAGCCGCCTCTAGCATTATGTTCCAACACCGGTATGGTCCATGGTTATTACGGTCCAACTTTGTTATGGTACAATTTCGTTATGGTCCAACTCTGTTATGGTTCAACTCTGTTATGGTCCATTGTTGTTACGGTCCAACTCTGTTATGGCACGGCACAACTTTATTTATGGTCCAACTCTGTTATGGTCCATCTAATTTTTTGTCCAAGCCTTTTATGGTCCAACTCTTATGGTCCAAGTCTGTTATGGTCCAAGTCAGTTATGGTCCATTGTTGATACGTCCCAACTCTGTTATGGTACAACTATATTATGGTCCGACTCTGTTATGGTCCATCTTTTTTTGTCCAACACTTTTATTGTCTAACTTTGTTAAGGTCCAACTCTGTCTAATTACTGGATCAACCTTTTAATGGTTCATATCTATTATGGTCCAATCCTTTTATGGTCCAATTCTGTTGTGGTTCAACTCTGTTATGGTCCTTCTCTTTTTGGTCCGACCCTTTTATGGTCCAAATCTGTTAAGGTCCATTGTTATTACGGTCCAACTTTGTTATGGTACAACATTGTTATTGCCCAACTCTGTTATGGTCCGTCTCTTTTGTGTTCCAACCCTTTTATGGTCCTACTCTGTTATGGTCCATTTCTGTTTCCGACCAACCGCTTTATGATCCAACTGGGTTATGATCTATCTGGGTTATGGTCCAATCTCTTTTTCGTCCAACTCTTTCATGGTCCATCTATTTTTTGGTCAAAGCCATTTTTGGTCGAAGCCTGTCCAACTCAGTTATGGTTCAACTCTGTTAGGGTCAATCCTTTTTTTTTTGGTTCAACCAATTTATGGTCCAACTTTGTTATGGCCCATCTCTGTTATGGTCCTCCTCTTTTTGGGAAAGACATTTTTATGGTCCAACTATGTAATGGTCCAACTCTGTTATGGTCCATCTCTTTTTTGGTCCAATCCTTTTATGGTCTAAATCTGTAACGGGATAACGATTTTATGGTCCAACTGTGTTATGGGCCCAACTGTGTTATGGGCCCAACTCTTTTTTAGGCCCAACCCTTTTATCTGTCCAACTCAGTTATGGTCCTACTGGTGTTATGATCCATCTAATTTTTTGGGTCCACCCCCTTTTATGGGCCCAAATCTTGCCATGGGTGCATTGTAGATTTTGGCCCAACTCTAATAATAGGCCAAACTCGTTTTTAGGTCCAGTCCTTTGTTAACCAAATCCTGTAAGTGGTCCACCCTAGTAATGTGCCATTTTTTGGGGGGCCAACCCGTTTTTGTCCCAGGCCATTTAAGGACCATGCCTTTTAAGGCCC